TGGGGCATCATATCTCTGTTACTTTCCCACTGCATGTGCATGGGAGCTGGTCCATAAGCTTCTAGAACTCTTTTACCTCTGCCTCCCAGGAGCACTGGGATTGTACACACTATCATATCTGGCTTTGTGTGGTTTCTAGAGATTCAAACTCAGGTCCTTATGCTTGCATAGTGTTCTAATTTGTTTCTCCACTGCTGTGACAAAATACTCCAATCAATACCAACTTGGGGAGGAAAGGGTTTATTCAGCTTACATCTCCTGGGTCACAGTTCATCAGGGAGCCCAAGGTAGGAATTTCAGGGCAAGAACCTGGAGGTAGGAGCTGGAGCACAGACCATGGAGGAACGCTGCTTACTGATTTGCTCCCCTGGCCCCTGCTTAACCTGCTTTCTTATACAACACAGGCCCACGTGCCCAGGGGTGGCACCACCCACAGTGGGCTGGACCCTCCCACATCGCTCAACAATCAAGAAGATGCCCTGCAGACATGGCCACAGGCCAGTCCTATGGAGGCAATTCCCCAGTTGAGGCTCCCTCAACCCAGGTGTGTCAAGTTGACACACTAAAGCTATCTAGCACACATAGCAAGCACTTTATTCTCTGAGCTATCCCCTAGCCAGATTCAGTATCATTTTTGCATGTCAACATTGCTCATATGTTTAGGCTGAGTATAATTTTCCATGAATTCATCCCGGTTCATTCATCTCTCCTCCCACTGATGGGCAACTTGACTTCTTCCAAGCTTGCAGCATCATGAGCATCACAGAACACAGCAGCATCCTATTGGATGCGTGTTTCTCTGAGGCATGATACCTAGGAGTAGAACTGCTAGGCCAGTACAGATGTGAAACTCAACTGCAGGAGATGAGATGGTATCAAATCTTTGCTGATAGACTGCATCACCTAGGCATTCTTAGATGCTTGTTTCCTCTCCCTAGCCACCTCAATAAAGTTTCACATTTCAGCTCTACCAGGATGTTTAAATCAAGTTCTTGGCTTAATCCTTGAAAGCATCTCAGATGAATTTTCTCATATTGAAAAAGGTGAGTTAGATAATAGGAGACATTCTTTTTTTTTTTTTTTTTCAGTCTTTATGAGACAGGGTCTCCCTGTAAGCCCCAGCTGGCCTGGAACTTGCTATGTAGATCAGGCTGGCCTTGAACTCACAGAGATCCCCTGCCTCTGCCAGCCTCTGTCTCCCAAGTGCTGGGACTAAAGGCATGTGCAACCACACCCAGCAAGATAACAGACATTCTAAGCGGAGCAAAGACCCTCCTCCAGACCCTGAGTTAGAGAGTCCAATGAGACGAAATGGTCCAAAGCTGTTTTATTTTTGACAATAGGAGATAGAAACCAGGACTGGAGTAGAGCTAGAACCCATTTCCTCATCTCAATGGCATACCCAGTTTTGCCTCACCCCATAATCACTGTAGACACAAGAACAAAAGCCTGAAAATGGAAAGCCCAGTTTGTAATTCCAAATTCAAATTGGGGGAGGGGGTTCCAGGTTGGACAGCAGCACATAATCCACTTCATTTCATACTCCTTAGCAGAATGCATTACAGTATCACCAACACAGTGATGAGTCAGACCCCTATTCAGCCCCAAGGAACTTGCAAGTTTCCTCATTTCCAAGACAGGATCAGACAAGAAGTGCCCAAAGGGTGACAGTGCTGGGAAGAAGGTGATGCTCCCTGTGGAAGGACTAGTGGAATTAAAACACAGAGAGAAGGTGTTCAAAGGTGACAGTGATCAATTCCATCCAAAAGAACTGCAGAAAATTTCTCAGAGGGTGATATTGAAGCCAGAATCAAGTAAGCAAGAAGAAAGAAAACAAAGAATATACCTAAAACAATTAGGAAATCGATTTCTGACTCATACTCAAGTTTCCCCTATTCTCTTGTTTCTCACATTTCTTCAGTCTGTTCCCAGTTTCTGGTCCAACTCAAGCACCAAAAGCCCACGGATCAGTGTTAAACATTCATTGTCTGTACTCTTTTTATTTTTCATTCCACAATCACCAGCAAAGTAAATCTCTACCAGGTACCTGGGCCTGTGCTAAACTCTAGGGATGTATGAAAGGACAGGATGGGCTCAGTCTTGGCCTCTTCCCACTCCCTCGCTTCAAGGACAGACAGAAGATTGAACAAAGACAGCTGATTTGACCTGACCACCAGTCAGACTTCATCAGCCTGGGCCAGCCCTGCCTTTTGCCCTTTCGGCCCTGAAACATTTTCAGAAAATTTTGCAGGATTAAAGAAATGACTGCCTACTCTGTAATTAAAAGAATCCTGACCAGCATCCCAGGTAGCCAAGCAGCTGCTCATAGCTAAGTGAATCAAAAATCAGGTGCTTCCTACATAACAACCTCCAATCTGATACTTGATAGCTGCTGGTTTCCAGAGTCAAACAAATGTCAGGAATTTTATGAAGGAAGGCAGGAAGCAAATAAGGGGGCAAGGATTGGGGTCTAGGCCTTGAGGGAGCTCAATTAGTGAGTCAGATAAAGTTAAAGTGAAAGGGCTGGTTTCCTAGAAAGCCAGCTGGAAAAGATGGCAATCCTTAAGCCTCTGTCACTCAAAAGATTAACAGAAGAGACCTGGGGTATCCAAAGGGAATTCTGCAATAAGTCAGATGTTTTTGCTCTTCCTATGACACCATTGCTCTCAACCAGAGCCACATTTCTGGGGCCACCAAGAAGTAATAGGAGAGAGCTGACATCTTTTGAGATAGGGTTGAAATTCAAACATAACCCTTTATCAATAGAGACACTGAATATATTGTTAAGAATTCCTCTGCTAACTCACCTGAAGCTTTAGGGTTCAGAATTTTCTCATGGAGTCATCCCTCCCTTTAACTGGATGAACACTCCCTGCAGCTTCTGGGCAATGTAGAAAGCGCACAAGATGATCCATGTAAACTTGGATCTGGCTCCCACAGCCATATATACACCACAAGAAATTCAAACAAGGTGGTTAAGTTCCCATGTTTTACTTCCCCACTTGCAAAATGGGACTAAAAAGACTCCCCTTCTTTTTTTAAGAGATTGTGTGAAATGCCCAGCCCAGGTGTTGATAATGGGTGGCTCTCCCTGTTGCCCAGAAATGCAACCTGATAACTACATGCTTAGGAGTGCAACTTCCCATGCTATTTTTTTTAAACACACATGCACATTGTGCGTATGCACATGTATATTTGACAGAAAACAAGCTGGGCCATCAACAAGTCTATTTATGGGTCCTACTTATGCGCCATCACTTTTACCAAATTAATAAACTAAAGAAAGTGGAGGAAAACTTAGCCAAAGTCTATTTCTCCTAATGTCCTAGCTTTCTCCTAAAAGTTGCTTCCTCTAATTTCAGGAGGTAGGGAAGGAAAGCCATATGGCTTGAGACGTTAGACATGCCCAGCAGCAAGCAAGCCCCCCACCATTTGTGGGAGGGCCTCTCTCCTTTCGACCCTCCGTGGGCCGGCATCCAGATTTCAGTCTGGGTGCTCTGGTCTGCGTCTCTGTCTTGACTGTTCCTAATTATTGGAGGGAACGCAGGGCTCTCTCTCGTCTGACCTCAAAATTTAAGAGCTTCAAGTCCTAATATCAAACCAAACAGCTTCATTTTAAAGGCATCCTCATCTGCATCCATAAAAGTCACTCCCACAACCCTGACTTGCCCCAGCTTTGGGAATGCCTGCTGTCGAGGATTTATGACACGCCCTGGATCTAATCTGCCCCACTTTAACCGCTGCTGTTGCACATCTGGTCATAAAAGCAAGGGCCGGCCAACATGGGGACAAACACTTTTCTTTCCTAAGTGGCTGCAAATCTGAGCTCACAGTGATAGCTGGGCTCAAATGTGATCAGCCCAGCATCTGGGAAGTCATTAGGTTCATCAGTCTTTGCAAAGCTTTTCCTCCATGCACCACAGCTATAAAGATGACTCCTGTAAAGCCAAGGGCAGAAATAAAGAAGCTGCTACAGGAACAGGTGGGAATGGGGCTAGCCATCCAGGAAATGGGACCAGAGGACATTCAGGAAAGAAAACATGAGTTGATTGAGAAGCCAACCTTGTTTGCTCAGAGGTCCTAGATACTTTCACAGGACTCCTGCTGCCATCCTGAGATCCACTGAGCTGATTTATGCTGATGTCAAAGGAAACACAAGGTGATTTAACAATACATTTTTCAAGGCAGTGAATTCTTTATTAGACCAATAGGAGGGGGACAGGGCAATAATCTAGACCAGAAATGAACACAACGCTGTCGGTTCCAGAAGTTTTTATAATGCCCTGGACAACCCATCCTGTGCACAGAATTGGCACTTTTTGTGTCGTTCAGAAATTCCAATCAGACCAAGGTTCAACAAGCAACTCAACCATCCAAGTACCGAAGCAAGCCAAGGGAAGAGTCCCTTGAATACTGCGCAGCTCTTCCGAACTTCTCCACAGCCCCCCAACCCCAGTCCTCCCTCCAGGGTCGGTCGGCAGGGGGGGAGCATTAAAATTATCTGCTGTGGATTTTACGAGCAGCGACCGCTTTTTTAAAACAACAACAACACAAGGTCCTTGTGTGGCTCTCGTAACCTAAAACTCTCTAGGCAGAGCTGCCACCACCCCCTACGCCCCCCCCAACACACACCCTCTGCCTGCCAAGAACGCCAGCGAGGGGAGCAGTGCAGCAAGACCACAGGGAAGCTCTGCTCCTGCGGGAGGCCCAGCTTCCTCAGACCCTGGAGGCGCCTGGGGGCGGGGGGGATATTGGAGCAAACACCGCGGAAGAAGGGACTGGGAAAGCAAACCCACCAGTGACAGGTCAGGAGAGTCCGTGGTGCAAGAAAAGGGGGGGGGGCTGAAATCTTATTTCAGAGCAGCTATGAAGAGGCTTGCAAGAGACTGGACAGTAGGCGTGGGTCACTGTCCGACATGTCCCTTCCCCCTTCTCCAGATGAGCTGCAAAAAGCCCTGTGCTTCCCGAGCAGGTGGGCACGCAGCCGGGGATGCTCTTACCCTGGGGCCGGTGGTGCGGTGGCCGCCGGCGGGGGACAGCTGCACCAGCACGAGCAGCAAATGGGGCGTGAGCAGGCGGACGCAGCGCGCGGGCAGCATGGTGCCAGCCGGGCCGGGCAGCCGCGAGCCGGCAGTGGGCAGGGGTCGCAGGCTGGCTTGGTTCGGGGAGCCCTGGCGGCTGCCGGGAGCGCGCGGCGAGCTGCGGCGGGAGCTGGCAGAGGCTGGGTCCGCGGGCCACGGTCATGAACCGCCCGGATCCGGAGCGCGAGCGTGTGCTGTGCGCGCGGTACCCGCTGCGCTCGGCCAGGCCGTGGCGGCAGCAGGTTGGATACCGGAGCCCGGGCCATGGGAATTCCCGTTATAAACCCCCAGGAGGCGAGGGGCGGGGCCCGGCAGGCCTGAGTGACAGGCCGAGAGGCCTGTAGCAGCCGACCCTCCGGCAGGTGGAAGCCAATGGGAGAGGGGCAAGGGGGGCGGCTCTAGGGCAACCCCACCCAAGGAGCAACGCGAGTCAGGACCCACCCCCAGAGTGGGATCCGGGACCGGAGGGATGAAGAGTAACTTTCTCTAGGCTCGTTCCTCCCGGGGAACCTGGGAGCATCCCAGCAGCCTCAGCCCCTCCAGAATGGTCACCTGGCTGAAACAGAAGCCTTAAGCGCCTATGTTTTTACCTCATAGGGCATGAGTTGTCCCAAAACTGCGTGAAGAAGGCAGAAAAGATAAATCCGGGGGGGG